CCGATCGGATCGAACAAGCCGATTTCCGGCGCTGCACACCCGAATCCACCGCCTTGCCTTCGACAACCCCTTCAACACGCTTTGCCATGAGAAAGCAAGAAACCGGACTGTCCGATGAGTCACGCCGAAGTAGGCGAAGACCGACCGAACGGACGGCGGACGGCGGACGGCGGACAGCAAAAACTGAGGTCAGCCATGGGCAGCCGCGCTTCTCCTTATCGTTCATCAATCTCCGGCCGGCGCCGGAGTCCACACCAGCCAATCGCCTTTAGAATACCGTGACTCATCACGCACGTGTCGCAGATATTATGCTGTATGCGGTACACAGCCTGTGGAGAACGCCAGTGCACCGTACAGCTCTACTGGATAACGATTGCGTCAAATTCGAGGGACGAGCCAATCGGTGGCGTCGACTGTGCGTGTGCGTACACTACGGCCATACGCGATTTCGCTCGTGACATTTCGACGATCATTACGACAACGAACGAACGTAACTTAGGGTGGTCTCAAGTTCCGGACGATGTCGTATGCATTGATCCGGCGAGCAGCATGACCGTCAAATGCGTCATCGACGCTGCTGATTAATGCCAAGCATTGGACTAATCAGCATCGCTGCTAATTCTCGAAGGCTTTGCAGATTTTACTCTCATCCCTCCCTCAGGGCCTTTTTCCAGTTCCTCCTATCGCTCTAACTCTTCTACGTCATTTGCTGGTTTTGCTTCTTCGCCTTTCTATTCCATCTTCAGTTCGACCTGCGTGCTTATATTGCGGAGCATCGTTCGAGCGCGTCTTTCTGTTGATCTGTCTTTTCGCCTATGTGTGGACGACTTCATATTCATAGCCTTCGGACATGGCCGAACTCTTCTAACGCACGACCAAAGCGTCGCATTGTTTTTAAAATTGAAAACTGAAAAAATTACAAAACCGGCATATTTGTACACAACGCAAGCAAATTGATCAATCGGGTAATCAACCATTACCGAAGTTTCGACTCGTCTCTCGTCTGGTCTTCTTCGTGGTGGTTCGTTCGGGTTGATGTGCGCAGTGGGTTGTGCGATCCGCAGTTGTAATGACGTTTGGAGCCGGATCACATAACCAGCTGAGGAGATGGACCCATATGACCTTGAAGGTCCGTGAGAGACCAGTCGAAACGTCGGTACTGGTCAATCACCCAATTGACCAATTTGCTTGCGTTTTGTATACATTTTTCAGTTTTCCGTATGATCACCAGCACACGGACAGAATTTCTGGTTTACGCTAACATGAGCGTAGCGTCTGATGACACAAGACGTTACACCGGGTTATACAACTGCATTATACTGCAATCTTGCTTCTAGACTGTTAGGCAGATCACGACTCCGTGATATTTGAGCACTCGCATTGCGGAGGTGCGTGTATCGCTGAGTCGAATGTGCACGTCACTCAACGTGGTGGTTGCAGCGAAATGAATGCGGCGGCGTCACAGTTTATGTTTTTTATGCCGAAGTGGTTGTACTTACTCCCTTATTGTTTTGTTTCTTATTTTACACAGTACTGCACACGACTTTCAACTCGATCGCCGTATCTTTACTTTTCTCCACAGCGTTTGCCGTTTTGTTCGGTGCCGAAGTTTGTTGTCACCGGCCGTCCAGAATAGACAGCAAAAATCCAACTACAATTGGCATTTGAATAAATTTGAGTAGCTTCTCAAGGTTTAGGCTGAAAAAACGAGTAACTTTTGCCACGGAAATTCACCCGCACGTTGCTTCTGCTGTTTGCCATGTCAGCCTCGTTGTACGGCATGGAGTCAGTTGTTATAAGGAAGCGGGAACGACCGATGAACTACGTGCAGCAGCATTGCGCATCGACGCGCAGTTAGGTTTAAATAGCAGAACCGCACAAGGAGTGATTTTATTTTCTTCCGGGCACAGGTGACTTCAGTAGATGTGGAGATGAGGAAAGGAGGCTATCGGTTTTGTTGCACGAACTGCTTGAGCATACACCATTCACTCCAGCTAATTGGCTTGTCGTTTGGAAGCCAACACGTGGCAGCCATCGACTAGCAGGCCAGCCTACCACATAACGAAGGGAAGATCAGCTTCCGTAGACGCATATTTCGTTTGTGAGATACAATGGCCGATGTCTTATAGCAAAGTGTTGAAAAGTTGTGAGTTCAGCGGGCGTCAGAAACCAGAGACGTTCTGCTTCCGCGAAAGGATGATCAAGATCATAATTTCAACAACAAGGTCCTCTCAAGTAAACAAGTTCATGTTTACTTTATAGGTGTTCAACTTGACTAACGATACTATAATAACAAGTAAACAAGCAAAATTCGGCAGCTTTACAGGAGCAAATGACAAAAGGACATTCATCTAAATCTTTTCTCGCGCCTAACCCGAAAATTTGTAGTTCAATAGTTTTGTTGATCGCAAACGAGAATTGATTTTCCGGCCGTTATGAAACGTCACTTAACGAATTAACCGGTGTGCATCTGGTTCAGCATTGCCGGACGTCGATCCGGACCATCAGACGGGGAGTTCAGGCTTTTACTAGTGCAACTGTGCTCTCTTCTGCATCATAATCTTCCAGTTAGCCAAAGTAAGCAGAAATTCGATACGCAGTTGAAGAGGGCCGGAGAGGAATGGAATAGCTCCTGCAATAGCCATTACGCGCCCGTCAAGAACTCTGAGATAAGGCGCCGATGAGAACTCGTGACATCTCATCTCTTACACGATTTCTTTTTAGCACCAATCCAGTTTTATACTTCTTTGTCGTAGCATACCTCAAATAACTCTTGTCCAGTGAGGCGAATCAGTTTGGAGCGGTGGTAAAAGGCGAAAAAAAGGCTGTTGCACTCTGCTGCGACGGATGAGCGGCGAAAGTGCGCCAGCTGTGACACGAATGGCTCGCGGCACTCACACTACTCACTGTTCATTGCTGTACTCCACGATCTTTACCTTAATGAACCGGAAAATTTAGCATAAGTGTTCACATTATTCATATCATCTACGAACACCACTGAGGTCGATCGGAAGAAGATCAGATTTTATTACTGTTGCTGCTGCGGTCGCAGTAATGCTAGCAATGCCCGAACAGCAGATCAGCCAAACTTCATGATGTCTGTTAGGAGGTGTCAGTGATTTATATTTGCCAAAGATAGCCACTTACTCCAGTCCATGAGCTTTCTGTGTGAGCGCCAAAACTCCACAGACGTCAATCAGTAGGACAGCATGCAACATTGGGGAATAAGGTACATACATACCTGCTTTCAGTGTTAAATTTCATATTTCCTCATATTCCTCCTGCAATGTAGTAACTGGTGCCTTGTAGCGGAAGTGTAGAAGAGCCGCTAATACCACGTACATCACAGACCAGAAACGTTCTGCATACGCTTGGCTCAAGGTGGTGATTTTAAAAAACAATGACAAAAAAGGCAAAACGTGCTGTTTCAGCAGTGGTCATAATCTTCGTCTCAAGTAGGTCTACTTCAATGGTATGCTTCCAAATTTTGTGAAGCATTCTGTTCCGCATTCGCGGCCATTTTGAAATACAGCAAAAGAGCTTATAATAACTTAAGCGCAACGCAATACAGTTTTCTATAGTCGAGGTATAGTCCAGGAAAACCCTTCGCCTTTCTTAATGGCAAGAGTGGTAGTTGCTCGTTGGCGATGATGTGGTTATGATTCCAGCCCCTGATTCGCGTGGACCCGACAGAAATTGACGAACACTCTTTACATACGGGTGGATACGGTATTGGTGTTTCACCACAATGGCCAATGTATTGCGTTTTGCTGCTGTATATAACTCTTCCAAATTTCGTGTTGTCGCAGTTAATCGACGGTTCTCATGAAAGAAGAGTTTTGAACATGCGCCTTTCTTTGTCTAGGCTTTTTCACCATTTCAAGCCAAACGCTGACCTCTTAGTTCTTCCGA